GATTCTGTTTTTTTCAATTTATTTGGGAATGAGGTGGCGTGCCAGGAAGGAAGGAAGGAAGGAAGGAAGGAAGGAAGGAAGGGAGGGAGGGAGGGAGGGAGGGAGGGAGGGAGGGAGGCTGTCATAGTTATAAAGTTAAAGAAGCTACATTACTTCAAGCTCTATCTTTACCTCTTGCACAAGGGAAGCAGGTATTTATAAATACTATATAAATATAGTTATAAATATGTATGTTTTATACACACACAAACACACACACACAGATATGGCGGAGTAGCAGTTAAGACACTGGGCTTGTTAAATTGGCAGTTAAAGATCTACACTCCCATTCTTGCCTCAGCTCCTGCCAACCTAGCAGTCTGAAAGAATGCAAATACAGGTAGATAAATAGATACCACTACAGTGGGAAGGTAACAACATTCCTTGTGCCTTGTCATACAGTCATGCTAGCTACATGACCACAGAAATATCTTTGGAGAAGGTTAGCTCCCTCAGCTAGGAAACAGAGATGACCACAGCACCCTAGAGTCAGACACAACTGGCCTGAGGAAACTTTTACCTTTGGCTTTATATATTCATATGTGTGTGTGTGTGTGTGTATGTACTTATATACACACAGACACACTTAGAAATAAACGAGAAGATCTGAAAAGCTAGAAAGATGAGAAGGGTGGGGGGAGAGATTCTTCAAAAGAGGACAAATAATTTTTAAAGGCATATAGTATCACTGAGCACTGTCCATGCATATATTAACAGGTTTAATCCATTGCAACAGTTTTCTTTGGTCAGCAGCTGAATTATTTGGGCATATGTTGGATAGATGCTTGAGGTAAAAAAAAAACAGCTGCGAACATATCCATATTTCATATTGTGCCAAGACAATATTTTTGAGACTCTTCTTTTTGTTTATCCTTTCAGCTTATTTTTCAAACAATTTTTTTGCTAAAAAAAAGATATAATACATCTTCGGTTTCATTCAATCGCCCAGAATTGCTATGAGTCCAGTAGCATACAAATTAAATTAAATTCCAGTAAGACTATGTAGTAGCTTTTGTTCATTTTTTAAAAATGCTAAAAAGGAAGCTCTGCTTTAGCTTTCAATCTGTTTCAAAACACCACTGAAAAGAAAGGGAGGAAGTGCATTTCTTCTTCCTAGCCAAAATTCTCCAAACCCAAGAGTTAAAGAAAGAAAGATCCTTTCCTGGTGCAAAATGAAATGGCTGATCTCTTTACTCTGCATAGTACCTCAGGACAGAAGATTATGAAAGATATTTTTTTCCTGTCCTTCTTTCATACATTTTCTTTGGTTAGAAAATAATTGGTGTTTGGAGGGGTGAAATGCAAGTATTGATAAGAAAGAGGGGAGTTACTAATGAAACATAGTCATTGTCTAAATAACATTTTGTGAACGAAACAGGTTTTTACAATAAAGCAGGATGACAAACACAAGGACTTCAATCAAAAAAGAGTCATGGTGGTGCAGTGGTAAGAATGCAGCATTACAGGCAAATTCTGCTGACTGCCAGCAGTTCAATTCTCACCAGTTCAAGGTTAACTCAGCCTTCCATCCTTCCGAGGTCAGTAAAATGAGGACCCAGATTGTTGAGGGCAATATGCTGATTTTGTAAACTGCTTATAGAGGGATGTAAAGCACCGTGAAGCAGTATATAAATCTAAAGTGCTATCACACTGTTCTGATTAAAGGTTCCATCATCTTGATGGAAGACATAGAGAGAGACACACACACAGAGACATACACAGAGCTTTTGAGAGCGTTGTAAAACACTTTGGAGCAGTAAATAAATTCTAAGTGCTATTGCTATTGCTAACATCATTGTTTGAATTGGGCTTAGTCCAATTCAACAAAAAGTTTTACTGGTTCAATATGACCCTTACACTTATACAGAAAGGAAAGTGTCCTGTTTTATATTAACTATAGAATTTTGTTGGAAGGGTCAGTTATTGGATAAACGGTGTTTGAGAGAAAACTAGTAAAAGGCACTCTATACGTACAGGTAGTCCTTGACTTACAACCACAATTGGTACTGGAAATTTCACAGTAAATTAGTGCAGTCATAAGGTGCATGTGACTGGATTAAATTTCAGTACCATTATTACCATAGTTAAGCAAATCACATAATCATTAGAATCATGCAGTCATTTGCTATGATTCGCCATTAAGTGAATTATGCAGTCATAGCAAATCTTGTTTCTTCAATTGACTTCCTTGTCAGAAGACAACTGGTAAGGTTGCGACTCACAATCCTGTGACCACAAGACACTGCAACTTTCATAAACTCAAGCCAAATGCCAAGTGTCCATATTGCAATCAGGTGACTGTGGGTATAGTCATAACTTTGAAGATGAGTCATAAATTACTTTTTTAGAGGCCATTATAATATCAAACCATCATTAAACAAACAGTTATAAATCCAGGATTAGCTGTAAAGTTATAAAGCCGATATGGATAGATGACTGAAAATAAAGACTGTATCTTGATGGAAGAGGCCATTTAAAAACACTTTAAATACCTGAACTTTTTCCCTATCTCTGAATATACTTAGTTTTGAACCAGTGTGTTGGAAGAAATATCCACCTGGTTCAGTTCCAAGCTGGGAAAAAGGCACTGAGACAAAATGGAGGCTGGAGGCTGATTGGAAAGAGGGTCCATTTTATGATGAAGCAGAAACACCAAACATGTGTGATTCTGGGTAGCTGGCCGCATGGAGTTGAGAGAGGGTGGCTTTTATACCTTCTCTTTGGCTTTGCACTTGAACTTCGTGTTCCTGTGGAACATGTGGTCTATTGGCTGATGTCAGACTCCCATGGGGCCATGTGGGGTCATGTTTGTCTGAGATAAGTTTGGTTGAAGTTGCTGAGTCTTTAGGAAATTGCAGTGCAATGGGCTCTGTGTCTTCTGCTAGATAATCCTATTATGTCCTGGAGGGTCATGTCTTAATCCCATCACCCTGGAGCTGAAGGTCTTTTGTCTTGTGGATAGGATGGCCCAATCTTTCTTAATGGGCACCAAATATCTGCTGGGGACAGGGAGCTGGGGCTGAATTTCTGTCTCCCTTAAGATTTCTATTTCTCTTTTAGTGGAAATATAATAGTCTGCCTTTTTAATATTTCCCAAAATATTTCATTCTTCTAGGAGAGGGATAGGTACTACCTTTGTACAGGTTCATCTGTGCTTCTGCTTTTATACTGCAGAAGTATTGGAGAATATCAACCTAGGTATTTTTTCTCATTTTAGTTAGCTGTAGTAATTCTATTGTCCTCTTTCACTCAAATCAAGCTGACTTGGGAAAAAATCTAATGGGATAGCTATCAGATTTCTTGTAGACGATAGCTAGTCACTAGCACTGAAGTGAATTTCACCTGCATCTTCCTTCTGCCTGTTCTTATTAAACATGAGCAATGATATATTATGATTCTAGACACAGTAAAAAGCAACTTGAAACTCTGAAGCAAACAAGAGGCTGAAAAGATTAAAGGAAACAAAAAGGGTGATGAAGTCATGACAAAGAAAAAACATGCCTTTAGTTGACAGACTTTGATTTATTGGCTTCTACTTTGTTTAGTTGGTAAAAGACTATTCTTTACCACAGCAGCTATCTCTAATGTATAATTCAGATGGCTCTTAAGACACAGAGATGCCAGGCAAAACAAAAGAGCTACACTCAGGCACAGGTCTCAATAACATTCGTCTACATTTTCCTGTAGTATTTATTCTACCATCATATGTATTTTATCTTCAATTGCTCTTTAGTTTGAAATTACTTTATCTAGAACAGTGAGTTTAGGAATGTCACCTCTACCACAGAAAAATAAATTCTAAACAAACAAATCTAAATAAATACAGAAACCACTTAAAACATGTCACGAATGTTTCCAGGATTGCTGTGGCTACTTGCCTACTCACAAACAGTATGGTTTCAATCAAGCCATCTTCTGTTTGTAATCACCTGCAAGCCTTCCCCGCCCTAGTTAATTGCAGGTTAACTCCCTATATAAGCAAGGACCTTTTCGCTTGCTACTCGGGCCTAGACTCCTGGTTTAGGCCTAAATGCACAGTTCCTGCAGGAAGCTCAGTGCAACGCCGCAGATGGGAGAAGAATGCAGATAAGGACTCCAGACGCCGTTGCAGAGAAACTCCCACGGATGCTTGCCTTTTGCTGTTTTGAAGCACGCAAGCTATCATGGGGACTGCTGCTGGACCTTTTTCCTCCCACGAGCTTCAAGCAATGTTTGCTGTTTGAACTGTTTTTACTTCAGGTGACTTTTAGCTGTGAAGTTTGTGCTGCCCCCATTTTGATTGCCTTGATGATGTATCGACGCCGAAGCTGCTTACCTTCATGCTAGCTTTATTCTCTTGTGAACTGTTTCGGTATTGTGGAGAGGGATCTAGGGAGATAGCCTTGCTTCACATACCCAGATAAGACTTTGTTTTAATGTGTTTTCTTAAAGACATAGTGCTTTTTAAATGTTTTAAAGTAAATTATAATTTTACACAAGACACCTCTGTCATAATTATTTCAGTCTCAGTGTGTTTACTCATGAGCTGGTTCACGGTCCGGGGTACCCCTCAACCCCATTTCATAACAAAACATTTAATGTGGCCAACTAAGAATCCTTACATGCCTTTTCCAGCTAATGGGAAAAACATTAAAAATTAGATTTTAACAGGAACTAGTAAGAATTGTAGAAAAAGATGCCAAGAGCATTTGTTTTCATGATAATACCAAGTGAAAAATAAGAACAACAATAATACAAACAAGAACAAGAACAATAATTATATTTACATTTGGTCAAACATGTCACAATGTTTGTTTTCTCTCTCTCTCTCTCTCTCTCTCTTTCTCTCTCTCCTTCCCTCTCTCCCTCCCTCCCTTTCTCTCTCCCCCTTCAACTCCCTCCCCCTCTCTTTAACAAAGGGAAGGTTTCCTCTCCCTCCAGCAGCAAGCAATAACAAAGAGAGGCCTGATAGCTGTACTCACCTGAGTAAAACTTTCCATCCGAATAAAACTATTTCCCACAAAATCTTTTATCTCCAAGTCTGGTCTTTTCTCCATTTACACATTTTCCTCCAGGACTTCTGAGCTTTTTCAAGATTTTTAAGGCTTTTTGACAGATTTATTGCTGCTCAACAACAAGCTGAAATCCACAGCCCTCACAACTCATAGGAAACCCTCTCACTCTTTTAAATTGTAGCTGTTTTAATTGGTATGCTACCCCAAGTCTTTGGATTTGGTAGCCTATAAATCCAAATAAGTAGACAAATGAGGATGAATGGGGAATTCCTACAAAATATGTCATGTCATTCATTTTACTGAATCATATTTGTGAAGTTTATAAACATACTGTTTTAATTACTTAATTAAAGCCTGATTTTATTATGAGCTAGTTTTGTAGATTTTGAATGGGAAAAAGTTGCTCATGAGTATAATACAGTACAACAATGATTAATAAAGATCCTGAAAAGAGGAATTTATGCTAAAGCTTTGATACTCTGAGTTAAATCATCATTTCGTGTAGCCCTATTTCCTTACAGAGAGTTCAACCAATTTTAGTGATCCAGAGAGAAAACAGGTGGATGGTAGAAAAAAAACGGGATATTAGAATCCTAATGAGAAATCTGTGCAGAGACATTCAGTCTTGTTTATTCCCCATTTAGTCATTAAGGCAGGCTACATTTGGATCAAAGAAACTAATATACTGAAGTTAATATGAGAAAATGACATTTCACACAAGGCAAAGTAAGCCTATTTATGTTACAGCTATTTTGATTCCTACATGTTTTGTTTATCACATTTAAGCTCTTCAGTGGTTGAACAATTTCACATTAAATATATGGATAAGGTTATTCAGCCTTTCCACTGATGAGATGGCTTCCATCAAAAAGTAGGATGGAAAAAAAATTCCCTAAAGCATTGTTTACCAAATCTCCCAAATGGGTTAAAGTCTGCTATCAAGTCTGCTACTGATTTGCTTTTCTTCAGGTGCTGCTTTGTTTTTCAATAAGCTAGAATAGGAATTAAAATAGAAGTTTTACACATACTCCAACTATATGTCTGTATGCAAGGCCATTTCCCATGTCTTCTAATTCTCCAATCATGAGCATTTTATAATAAAACCTTTTGTCAACAGATTAAAATTAAAGGAACAATAAACATTATCAACACATTCTGAACGCTGCTATAGTGAAATATTTTTTTTTGTTGAGCATAGCCTCATTTAAATCTCTATAAGGCCACATGACTCACAGCATAACTTCACCAAGTTATCTTTAAAAAGAAAGTCTAGGAAACAATAGAAGAAAGGCAACACGCAATTAATCTGATGGAAGTGTTAATTGTACTTCAGAATAACATAAGATTCGCCTCTAGAAGCATTGACCTATCCTATACTATTTAACATCGTGAAAAAGTCAACATATAAAGATCTGTTGAATGCGCGAGGACAGCTAAAATCAAGACAGGAGCTAAATTCTCAGGGATCTCAACTAGATACCTGCAGGTCCAATCAAAATATAAAAGTGATCGAGATGGAAGTAGCATAAATATTGACCTGCAGGAGCTAGACAAAATCTTGATGGGTCAGGAAAAGGGCATGATCTCTAAATGTTATAAATTGTTGATGAGGATAGAGATTGGCGAAGAAGTAGTAAAGGACACGATGATTGCCTGAGGGAAAAATTTTGGCTACCCAATTTACCTTGAAAAATGGCAAGAGATTTGGTGGGGAAACATGAAATTGGTAGTATGTACTACATACAAGGAAAATATTTATAAGATGCTATATAGATGGCATCTCCCGCCAGACAGATTGGCAAAAATGTTTGCTCGACAGTCCGCCAAATGTTGGAAATGTGATTTGAACGTGGTACTTATTATCATCAATGGTGGATGTGTCCAGAGGCAATTAAATTTTGGGAGAAAATTAAAAAATGGCTAAAAGAAATTTTAAATTAGGAGTTTGAATTGTGACCAGAGACATGCTTGCTCGGCTCTAGTCCGGAAAACTTTAAAAAAGATTCGTGGTACCTTGCATTACATATCATTACTGCAGCGAGAATAACATTTGCTCAGTTCTGGAAAGACAAATATGTCCCACCAAATGAAGCAATAATAAAAAAGATACTAGACTGTGCGGAAGCAGATAGACTGACGAAAAAATTAAAAGACAGAGACCAAACGTCAATATGTCTCTCTTGGGAAAAATGGTCTTTTGGGCTATCGAAAAGAAGACAACAATCAGATTAATATAAACAGGCATTGTATATATTGAAAATACTCTACTGCATATATAGACTGAGGTTGGATAGATTTGATTGGTTTATAAGTTTAAAATAGGTTGTTCTGTTTCCCCTGGACTGTATTATGAATCTATTGTATAGGTTTACGCTACATATTAGTTTATTAATGTATTGTTTATATTCTTTTATGTTTTTTGTTTTGTTTTGTCTTGTTCTTTCTTCTGTTCTTTTTTGTCTTCTTTTTAATTATAAATGTAAATAAAGACTTTTTAAAAAAAAAATAACATAAGATATTTCATTTACATTAGATTACACTCAAAGTTCTCCACTTCTGGTAACTTAATGTCAGTTTTCGGGTAATACAACTTGATTTGTACAAGTTCAAGAGTTTGATCTTTATAGAGAACAGATTGTGCTGTTAGTTTAAATTTAATGAAGATTAAGGCTTTGCTACAAATCTATTTCATTAGCAAATGCAATAGAGTCGGATAAATGACACATTGAGTATATAAACATAAGATACTTCAGCCATTGTTCAATGAAGTTTCTTATTAACTTTAAAGCCAATAGCAGTGTTCGGACAATTCTTTTTCTTTGATTTATGGAATGAAACAAAAGAATTGGGTACCTGCATATATACCTTTATAACTATTCATACTTCAGATAGTTGAACGACTGTACACACAAACTGAAAAGATTCATTTTCTGTCGAACCTGAGGGTAGGACTTGCCCAAAAAATTAACTTACATAACCAATTTTATTTGAACACTACAATAGTAGTTTGCTAATGGAATGAATTGCATGAGGGGAAAGATAACAGCTCTTCATTGCCAGAATTCTTCAGGCGATGACTTGACAACCATAATATAACCTGTAGAACTTCATTCAAACTGGCTTTTATTTGAGGAAAATTCTGTGTTTATTAGAGATGTAAAGCTCAAAGCAGAAGTAATTCTTTTTCTGCTTTCTGCCTGCTTTAATCAAAACATTGACTATGTGTTCTGAAAACTAAAGGATCGCATGCTTCAAATTCCATAACAATCATTAACATTTAATTTCTAAAACAACCATGGCATTGAAAAACAATGATAAACTATTGAAAGTAAATCTGTATATCTCCAGAAATTTTGAAAGCTGATTTTTGTTTTAAGTTAAGTTCATATACTCTAAAATCTAATATAACTGTATTTTTTTAAAAAAAGCAAGCAAAAACATAGAAAATATGTTTCATTTCATTTGTTGATTTAAAATATATTCATATAGCTCGTATTGATTCAGGTGCATAGATAAAATTATCACAAGATAATATATTAACAAGGATTCACGAATATTTCTGCTATAAAATTACTATCCTTTTCACTACTATAGCAAGTGTATTGTTTCTGGATCAGATCTGTAATAGATGGAAATCCATAGGGGAAAGTTTTCACCATCATATTATGAATATGCAATTGTGTTTGACACAAAATTCTTTAATAGACAATGGAGCCTGGCTCATACTGAAAAGGACAAATGCCCACTCAGCTATGGTGTAGAAAAAAGTGTGATAGACTATTTATTCTACTATTTATAAATGGTCTATCCCACATTTCAGAGGAATTCTAGATTTTGATGAGCTGCATCTCACCTGCCCGATAATTAAACAACAGAAACTCTCTGTGCCACATTCCAAATTGATCCATAGAGAATGTGAGACCATGGATTCTGGGCTCACTTGCTGCTTGCTTGAATAACTTCCCGTTATTCTCCTCAGGCCAAATTCTGTCAAAGAGACTAGGCATGTGAAAAGCTTCTCTGGAAGAAAACTATGTGGGACATTCAGGGACCAAGAAAGACAAAATTATTTTCACATTCATGCATTTTTCCCTCTTTGGCAACCATAATATTATCTCATGTGCATGAATCCCTGTCAAGCATCATCTGTGTCAGCATAGGATCAATGTTTTGTTCTTGTCTGTATATGTGAGCAGCATAAACTATTATGGAATAGTGGATAAATAGCTGTTTGAGGCATTAGAAAATCTTCCAGTAAGCAGATTTTTTAAGTATTACTCCAGAATACTAAGAAGTACTCTGCAATTAATTTGCAATTTGTTGCATATATTTCATTTTATATCTTTATAAGATACTAGGCATTTCATGACCTATTGAGTCATTCTTTTTCCCCCCACATATAACACAGGCTTGTGCCATTTCCTTTCACCTCACAGCTCTTAAGGCAGCCTTCTCCTCCTTGGCTGTGGAACTGTGGAGGCATGGGCACCTCTGCTTTTCATTCTAGTGTGTCTCCAAGGGTCCCGTCCCTCTAGGAAGGAAAATGACTTATCTGTTGACATTGGTTCAATACTTTCCAATTTATTCCAATTGAAACATACAAACAAATAGACATAAGAGTTTTAGAGCAGGGGATACATTTTTAAAAAGTTTTTTTTTTTTTGTTTAATTGATAAACAGCCATAGTGCTTAATTGGGGTCAGTCACCTACAATTTCATACCAAGAGATGCAATTCATAACAAAATTTGACCCTCAGTCATGCTATGAGAAATATTTACAAAGCTATGCAAAAAGTTGAGTAATTTTGCTAAGATGTTTATTTTTTATGAATGTGACATACCGTGAAAACTTTTCATCTTGAACATTTCTTTGTTGAAAACAAAGGCAGTCATCTTGACCATGAGAAATAATCCTAAAATTCAAATTAGGCCAATACAAGCTGTCTTTTAAAGGTCACAGAAGTGTGGGGAAACAACGAAGAATCTTTTAAGATAATCAAATACTCTTGTTTTGCAAGAGACAAATGTTGCCAAACTA